TTCTAAAAAAAATTGATTTAAAAATTAATTTCAGTTAAAGTTTTAGATAATAATATGATCATGATAATAATTGGAAAAAGTTACTAATAATGAGTAATTCAATGATTTTTAATATCTACTATTTTAATGAAAACTTTTCCAAAAGAATTGAATAATTTAAAAAAATTTTTTATAAAATTCTTCGCAAACATTAAATTATTTTCATAAATTAAAAATTTTTTACAGGAATTCAATTAATTAAAACCGAATTTCCCTAATAGTTTACGACAAAAATCAATTATTTAAATAGATTTTTATAAAATTCTTCGCAATAATTTAATTATTTTTATAAATAATAAAAACGAAGTTGAAGTCCACAACGTTTATCAACGAAAAAAATTTATTTAATACTTTCAAGTATTATTTTTAATTTAATATTTAATTGTAAAATAATTATTATCAAAATATAAACATCAATCTTTTTTTTCGAAGGATTTCAATTATTATTTAACATAATTTTAAATTAATTCCGCTAAAAACGCAATTATTCTTAAAAAATGTGAATAAAAATCTTGGAAAAAATTTAATTATTTAAAAAAATTTGATATAATTTATTTCTTAGAGTGTAATAATTATTTTCAATTTATTTTTAATTACATTTCTCGAATGAATTTAATTATTATCAAAAATTTTAATGCAATTCTTCGTAAAAATTCAATTATTTTAAAAAATGTTGATAAAGTTCTTTATAACAATTCAAATATAAGAAATATTCAGTTATTCAATAAGTTATTTATTTTTGTATTCAAATAATTTCATTCTCGTAGAACTTTATAATAAAAATTGATTTAAAATTGAATAAAATAAAATGATTAAAGTTGTGAATAATTTTATTTATAAATTTCAACAACAAAAAAAAATGATTGAATTTGGAAAGAATTACTTTTGTAATTTTTAGAAATAGTTAAATTTCAAAAATGCGTTACATTGAAATCGTTTGAAATATTTTAATTTCTGTAGACAAAATAAATAGGTATTAAAAATATTTATTTAAAAAAAATTATTCTATTTTCGAATGTAATTAAGAATTTTTTTTATTATTGTTATTTATTTATTTAACATGCAATTATTATTAAAAATTATTTTTGATATTAACAACTAATATGTATATGATAACAACATTAAAAGGTTTTAAATTTTTTTTTTTTTTTTTTTTTTTTTTTTTAATTTCAAGTTTTTAAGGAATAAATTCGTTGAGATAGAGGGTTGTCAAGAAAAGTTCTTTGTTCTATCGTGTCGATTTAAAAAAAAAAGAAAAATAGAAGGGGTAACACATTCTCTATCACAAAGCCCCTTGGGGGTTGCCGAGCGACGACTAATGGTTGCATTACAGCTTAATGAACGTTTCATAATGATATTGGCTTCATTAAATACATAAATCTTTACACGTTTTTTTAAACTTTTTAAAAAAAATAGCGCATGTGAAGTACTTTACATCCCGTTAATATACGTTACATATTCTGTGGAATAAACTTTTTTCATGAGAGATTTTAATAATAACAAGATATTTAAAATCTCCTTAATCAAATTTTATTTTCACGAGTAGTAAATAATAAACACAATTCCATTTATAAACTGCGTAATATGATAAATGTTTAAACACAAATGAATAATAATAATAATAATAATAATAATAATAATAATAATAATAATAATAATAATAATAATAATAATAATAATAATAATAATAATAATAATAATAATAATAATAATAATAATAATAATAATGTAGGAAATTATTTGCTGATGAAGAATTTTAATTAAGGAAGATTTCGACTATATCAGCAATTAGTGACATCTATTAGAAGTCAATTGAACTCTTTGGTTTAGAGTCAGGTGTTATTCTTAAGATAATTATTCCGATATGGTTGTCGGTAAATAATTATATTTTTTGAATTTTAATTTTTGATCTGAAAAAATAAGCTGCGTGAACGACTGCACTGTGCATCTGTGAGGACTCGAACCCCAGTTAATAGCTGCCTTTCGCGGGACTAACGCCTACCAATGCACCATGCCAACACAGCCTGGACGTTCACGTTTCTTATAATCTCAGATCAAGCCCATACACTAGTCGAAGAGCTGTATAGTTAATGTAGGAAATTATTTGCTGATGAAGAATTTTAATTAAGGAAGATTTCGACTATATCAGCAATTAGTGACATCTATTAGAAGTCAATTGAACTCTTTGGTTTAGAGTCAGGTGTTATTCTTAAGATAATTATTCCGATATGGTTGTCGGTAAATAATTATATTTTTTGAATTTTAATTTTTGATCTGAAAAAATAAGCTGCGTGAACGACTGCACTGTGCATCTGTGAGGACTCGAACCCCAGTTAATAGCTGCCTTTCGCGGGACTAACGCCTACCAATGCACCATGCCAACACAGCCTGGACGTTCACGTTTCTTATAATCTCAGATCAAGCCCATACACTAGTCGAAGAGCTGTATAGTTAATGTAGGAAATTATTTGCTGATGAAGAATTTTAATTAAGGAAGATTTCGACTCCTTCGATTCCTCACAGATGCACAGTGCAGTCGTTCACGCAGCTTATTTTTTCAGATCAAAAATTAAAATTCAAAAAATATAATTATTTACCGACAACCATATCGGAATAATTATCTTAAGAATAACACCTGACTCTAAACCAAAGAGTTCAATTGACTTCTAATAGATGTCACTAATTGCTGATATAGTCGAAATCTTCCTTAATTAAAATTCTTCATCAGCAAATAATTTCCTACATTAACTATACAGCTCTTCGACTAGTGTATGGGCTTGATCTGAGATTATAAGAAACGTGAACGTCCAGGCTGTGTTGGCATGGTGCATTGGTAGGCGTTAGTCCCGCGAAAGGCAGCTATTAACTGGGGTTCGAGTCCTCACAGATGCACAGTGCAGTCGTTCACGCAGCTTATTTTTTCAGATCAAAAATTAAAATTCAAAAAATATAATTATTTACCGACAACCATATCGGAATAATTATCTTAAGAATAACACCTGACTCTAAACCAAAGAGTTCAATTGACTTCTAATAGATGTCACTAATTGCTGATATAGTCGAAATCTTCCTTAATTAAAATTCTTCATCAGCAAATAATTTCCTACATTAACTATACAGCTCTTCGACTAGTGTATGGGCTTGATCTGAGATTATAAGAAACGTGAACGTCCAGGCTGTGTTGGCATGGTGCATTGGTAGGCGTTAGTCCCGCGAAAGGCAGCTATTAACTGGGGTTCGAGTCCTCACAGATGCACAGTGCAGTCGTTCACGCAGCTTATTTTTTCAGATCAAAAATTAAAATTCAAAAAATATAATTATTTACCGACAACCATATCGGAATAATTATCTTAAGAATAACACCTGACTCTAAACCAAAGAGTTCAATTGACTTCTAATAGATGTCACTAATTGCTGATATAGTCGAAATCTTCCTTAATTAAAATTCTTCATCAGCAAATAATTTCCTACATTAACTATACAGCTCTTCGACTAGTGTATGGGCTTGATCTGAGATTATAAGAAACGTGAACGTCCAGGCTGTGTTGGCATGGTGCATTGGTAGGCGTTAGTCCCGCGAAAGGCAGCTATTAACTGGGGTTCGAGTCCTCACAGATGCACAGTGCAGTCGTTCACGCAGCTTATTTTTTCAGATCAAAAATTAAAATTCAAAAAATATAATTATTTACCGACAACCATATCGGAATAATTATCTTAAGAATAACACCTGACTCTAAACCAAAGAGTTCAATTGACTTCTAATAGATGTCACTAATTGCTGATATAGTCGAAATCTTCCTTAATTAATAATAATAATAATAATTAATTAATTAAAATGCGAGGAGGAAAAAATACAGAGCTTTTTATTGTACAGAATGTTAATAGTAATAATATTCATAATTGTAACAATAATTATTTCTTTTTTTATTATTAATTATACAAATTTAAAAAAAAAGTTTTCGATGCTGAGCATCGATAGCAACTTCAGGGACTTTTGTTTACTTGTTGTTTAATTTTATGTCTATTATATTGTCTGTATTGTTTAATTATAAAGATATATATAAAATAGTCTAATTGTATAGAAGAAGGACACAGAAGTTTTTGACGATAGTTAAAAAAAAAGGTAAAAATTGATAAACGCGGACGATTTTATCAGAAATTGCTTTTTTGTAAGAGAGTCGTGAATCATAGATTTTCCAATCCAATACTTTTACGCTTGATTGTAAATTACCATTTGACCTTAAAAAAAATAATACATTTGACCCATTTTTACAAAACTTTTCTACAATATTATTATTTCGTTTTTTTAGAGAAAAATAATTTATTCTAACTTAATTTGAAAGAATAATTTATGATATCAAATACAAGCAGTTAATGTAAATAATTTTTATTATCAAATATGAACAATTGACATTAATATATTTTTTTGTGAAAATAAAAAAAATCATTTGGTACGTATAGTATTATTTAATATAAATAATTTGCACTATTTCCGCCTAAATAATTTTCATTCTTGCGAAAGTTTTATTATTAAGGGAGACTGGAATACAAATACAAGCTTATTTCTTAAATTCAAAATATCAATTCCAATACTACAGATAATTTTTAAAAAAAGTTATCCTCAAATGTTATAGTATCGGGAATTTTTTAGATTAGTGATTATAAATTAGAAATGGAAAGTTAAAAATCAAAATGGTTTTTTTTTAAATTATGGAATGTATTTTTTAATATTGATGTAAAACGGTTGTTTACATTCAGTGGATGATAACATCTTTGCAAGTTTACAATTCGTTCACTCCAAGTGGAATGTACGTATGTTTAAAGAACATTTTAGAAGTTACGTATCTTCCACGTTCAGTGAAGAAACCACGTATCTTTCTGTTCCGTGCAAAAACTACGTATCTCTGTCAGTCACTTTAGAAGATCTACATTTTATTATTATTATTATTATTTTGAAGTTAATATTTTGTTATGAAGTAATAATTTTTTCAAAAGTTGATGCAATAAAATGTATATTTTTAATAATAATTAAATTTTTTTTCTTAAAAATATTAGAATATTATTAGAAGTTTCTAAAGCGACTGACAGAGATACGTAGTTTTTGCACGGAACAGAAAGATACGTGGTTTCTTCACTGAACGCGGAAGATACGTAACTTCTAAAATGTTCTTTAAACATACGTACATTCCACTTGGAGTGAACGATTTGTTTAAGTTAACCCATAGTCATAGCACTTCCGTCTAATTGAAGAAAGCGTGCAAGGCCCTCCAGAAATATTCGCCATCCGCTTTTTCTTTCTTCACGTATCACGAGCTTCGATACATCATTCTCCGTATTGTTTAATACTCTTTTTGAGTTCTCGACATCTTCAGCTTCTTTTTTTTTACGTTCATTCTCTGTTATTTCATTTAATTTATGTGAACATGTTGTTAACAATGAGCGGATTTTTGCTTTTACGGCATTAACAAGACCATTTACTGAAGTAGCTATATAACTCATTCCTTTTGTTTTAAGTATAGAATCAAGAAATTTTATTAGACTTACTTTATTTAGCAATTTTTCGGCTGTGATGAATTTTTTCAAATTATCACTAATTATTTCCAGAGTTTGAATTTTAACCTCTGCATCAGAATTATTGTCTAAAGAAGTTTTCAAGCTTTCGTTGATTCTATTCAAATCGGCTTTATTGGTTTGTAAAGTATTAGTATCATTGGATTGACAAGAGGCAGCGAACTTTTCATCGAACGAGTTGCACAGTTCAGTTTGAAATTCTAAAATTGCATCTATGGACAGCAACTCATCATTCGCCTTTCGTAGACAAAATTCTGATTCTTGGGAAATTGTTAAACCTACATTTTGGAGACATGACTTGATTATTCTCTTGCAGTTATTAATAGCTGGAATAATATTAACATCGATTTCAGAAGTAACAATCCCAGTTTGTTGTGCTTTCTTGAAGAAGGCTAAAATTTGGTTTTTATGTATAATAATATGTCGTACAAAGTCTTTTGAAACTTCGGATATAGACATATTTGGATTTGATAATAATCTGTTAAATAATTTATCAGTTATGTATTCATGATCGACTAAATTATCAAAATCATCGGATTTAGGTGCTTTTGAGATAATTACTGATATGCTTGGAAAAAAGGTTCTAAAACTATCAGTAAAATATTCTTCTAAAGTACTTAAAAGTTTTCTCATCTGTTCAACATTGTCATTAATAATGTCACTAAAACTGATAACTATAATAAATTTCAGAGTTTCGACTTTTCTTGTCAAATGATACAGATGAAAGGAATTGTTTAAATCTTGCATTATACCTCTATTGTCCGTAAACCCAGCAGTATCCCAGATGTCCAAATTCTGTAATTGTGGCCTTGTTGAGTTCCATTTTTTGGGAATTGTAGTCACTGACAGTGATCCAGCACCAATTTCTGGTCCTTTGGTATTGCTGTTAGCTAGTTCTAATTTCAGGGGCTCATATTTACCAGAGCGGTAAGCTTTTAATAAATTACCCATTAAGTAATTAATTAGTGTACTCTTGCCATTTCTTCCATTGCCTATGACAAATGCCGATCTTCCACTTTGACCTCGAGTTGCTGCTTCCATACGACGTTCCGAATCATTGAAAATTTGTCTTATTTCATTTAACTGATTAATACCAAAGTCACAATCTTCGCTTTCAATCATCGAAATTAGAAAGAAGATTATTACATGTCTTATCATGATGGATAAACAATGTATTGCAACTTTTTCCAGTGAATACTTGAAAGTCTGAAAAGTTGACAAAGTTATTTACTAGACAAATTGTCATTAAATTTCAGTCTGTATTGGATACGAGAGAATATAACGTCACAATAAATAATTTTTTTATTGTAATTTTGAAGTAATTGTAATTGTAAATTAATTAAACAATAAGTAGCACGCTTCAGCGGTTGTATAACATCTAATTTAAAAATAAATTACAAATAAACAGGCATCACAGTACCTTTTTTCCTCAAAAAATGTGAAAAGGGAAATTTTTTACCTCAAAACGGAAAACAAAAAGGGGACAAAAATTTATTTGTTTATATAACTTGCATATAACAGGGCTCGAACTAGGTCCGTAAATCCCGTAAAAGTCTGTAATTTTGCTTAAAGTCCGTAAAAGTCCGTTTTTTTTTAAAAAAAAGGTCCGTAAAGTCCGTAATTTTATTGGAAAAGGTCGAAAATTTCGTAAATTGTACGATATAATTTGGAGAATTTTAGAGAAATTATATAAATGATTGCAGAAAGTCAATTATTTTCAAAAGTAATAAAATTCTTCGTGGAAATTCAATTATGATCAAAAATTTTTTTAAATTCTCGTCAAAATTTCAATTATCTTTAGAAAAAAATAAATTCTTCTTCAGAATTCAATTATTTTTTAAACATTTTAATAAAAATTCTTTGCAAAATTTCAATTATTTTCAAAAATTTTAATAAAATTCTTAACAAAATTTAAATTATTTTAAATAATTTTCAACAATTCAATGATAATAATAAAATTCTTCTCAGAAATTCAATTATTTAATTAAAATTTTCATAAAATTCATCGAAAAAAATCAATTATTCAAAAAGATTTTTATAAAATTCTTTGCAAGAGTTCAAATATTTAATAAATTTAAATAAATATGAAAATTTAAAAAAAAATGCTCAGCAATTGAAATGTTTTTAAAAATTATAATAAAATTTCTTGCAAGAATTCAATTATTTTAAATAAATACTAAAACTCATCGCTCAATTATTATTCTTAAAAAATTCGAATGAAATTCTTGACAAAATTTCAAAAATTTTCCTCAATTCAATGATTTTCAATATCTACTATTTTCATAAAATTTCACAAAAGAATTCAATTATTTAAAAAAAAAATTGTATTAAATTTGTTCTTAAAATATTTCATTATTTTCAAACAATAATAAAAATTTCACATGAATTCAATTATTTACAAATTTTTTTTATAAATTTCTTCTCAATAATTCAATTATTTTCATAAATAATACAATTTTTACAGGGATTCAATTATTTTCGTACATAATAAAATTCTTTTTATGACTTTAATTCTTTTCATAAATAATAAAACTCATTGGGCAGGATTTAAATTATTTTTAATAAAATTTTAATCAAATTCCTCGAAAAATGTAATTATTCTGAAAAATTTTATTAAAATTAGTCAAAAGAATTCAATTATTTAAAAATTTGTTGATTACATTCTTTATGAGAATTCAATTTTTAGAAACATGCAATATTCAATAAATTGTGTTTTTTTTATTTAAATAATGGAATTCTAGTAGAATTTACTAATAAAAATTGATTTAAAAATGGATTTCAGTTAAAATTTTAAATTATAATTGAATATTAAAAGCATTAGAGCATGAATTTTTAGAAATATTTGAATTTTGAAAAGGTTTGAATTTGAAATTTTTGAAAATCTGAATTCTTCATTTTTTCAACTAACAATTCTGTGGAATTAATTTTTTTTGAGAAAAAGTTTAATTACCGTTTTTTTGAAATTTTAGATTGTAAATTGTAAACAAATGAATTTCAAAATTCTCAAAGAAGTTTTTTAAAAATTATTAAAAAATAATGCATTTATAGAAGAATTATAGTTAAAAACACAAGAAAAAGTTTAATTTTGGTTTGGAAAAGTTACAAATTATTGCAGAAATACAATTATTTTCAAGAGTAATATTCTTCACAAGAATTCAATATTGTTCAAAAATAATAAAATTCTTCGTAGGGAATCAATTATTATTTTCACAAATAATAAAACTCATCACAAAATTTTTGCAAATAATTGAAATTTTGCAAAGAATTTGATTAAAATTTTGGAAAATAATTAAATTTTGAAGAATTTTTTTATTTATAAAGAGAATTGAAATTTTGACGAGAATTTCTTTAAATTTTTGAATATAATTGAATTTCTGCGAAGAATTTTATTACTTTTGAAAAGAATTGAATTTTTGCAATAATTTGAAACTTCTCCAAAATTAAAATTTTTTTTTAGTGTTTTTAACTAAAATTCCTGGTTAATTTTTTTATTTTTAATAATTAATTGAATATATATTAAAAAATTTAACTAATTTCAGAATAATTTAAATTTTGAAAAATTTTTGCAAAAATTTAAGTTCTTTAGAATTTCTAATAAAATTCATTCAAAATTGAAATTTTATAAAATTTGAAATTTAAATGTTTTGAAGTCGATCTATTTATAAAAATTTTAAACGCAACAATATTAAAATTGAATTAATTTTGAAATGTATAACTAAAATTATTTAGTAAATAATTAAGAAGTTATAATTTTATGATAGTTCTTCAAGAATTAAGTTATTTAAAAAAAAAATAATTGTTGGAAATGGAAAAAATTGAAGGTTTTGTATTAGAATTTTTGTTTTTTTTAGAAAAAACTATTAATAATAATAATTGAATTATTTGAATGTTAATTAATTATTTTTCTAAAGGTCTGCATTCTGTTGAATGAACCACAATATAATTTATAAAATTCTTTACGATATTTATATTATTTAAACTATTAACATAAAAAGACCTGTTTATATTATGTTGTGGTGTTAATAATCTAAATCAAAAATAAAACTCACTGAATTCTATAAAATTGAGTCTAAAGTAAATTTTATGATTACACTTTGAAAAAGATTTCAAAAAGAGAAAAACTTGTTTATTTTTTATTAGAAAAAGGGGGTAAATCAGCAAAAAAAAAAAAAAATGGGCAAAGGGTGACAAATGGTCAAAAAAGGGGAAAAAGGTGATAAAATTGAAATAAGGGGACAAAAAGGAAAAAGAGGAGCAACTGTGATGCCTGAAAGTTAAAATTATTAAAAATTGGTACTACAGAAAGAGGGGGAGCGCTGTTTCTGTTATGCTAAGCAGTACTAATTAACAATTTGTAAATATTACTGACGGAATAATTCAAATAAATATTAATTTGATTTTTAAAATTATATTCGCTTACCTCCTTGGTGTGAAACTTATTCGTATATTTAATACACAGGAATAATCAGACGAACTTCAAGATTTATTTTCTGTTTCAAACTTAGTGCCACGTAACCGAATAATAAATGTAACGCAATTTGCCAACTTTGTTATTTGTCATATTTAATATTATACATTAAGAATATCTCTAAATTTTATGTTCCATTGACCAGTGGAACAACTACAGGTGTAACGAGTTGCGAATGAAAAGAAAGAATTCTTAATCAGTGAATAGATGTACTGTTAACCAATAAGAAAAATACACACTGAAAAAAATTTGGTGTTACTGCCTTTTCTGTTAGTACAGCTGCCATCTCTCTAGATACGTCAGCGTTTCCGAAAATCGAACAGCAGTAACGCTAAAGACAAGGTAGTAGGTGTAGCGCTACGACCACTAAGATGGTAGTGACGTCAAATTTTTTCCAGTGCAGGTGCAACGAGTATATAGATTAGGAAAAAAATTATTTATTACCTAGTGAATGTTTAGAAAGAAAATTAAAAAAATTTGGTCTTTTATAAATTTTAATACATTGAAAAAATTATTTTCTATATTAAGAAAAGGATTTTTTTACATTTTTGTTTTTAAGAACGTTGCGGACTTGAGGCTTATCTTTATAATAGTAAAAGCGTGTATGGCTTTATAGACCAAATTTTGATAAAAAACATTTATTATAAACTTGAAAAAAATGAAGCATATAATACAAACATTTTGAAAATTCCTAATAAATATTACGAAAATGAAAATGTCGAAAATTATGATTTACAATATTTTTTTTTTGGTTATGAGAAAATTAATTTTTTTGAGTAGAATACTTCTAATAAGTATAATAATATTATGTTAGGTTGTTTTATTATTAGTTTTATAGCATCTTGAAATTTAGTTTCCCGGAAGCCCTGAAGGTTGGCCTCTTGGACGTTCTATCATTAAACTTATATTAATTTTAATTGTTATGCAAGAAATGTCATTTCTTTCAATATCATCAAAAAAAGTCTCGTTTAATTAAATAAAATTCTGATTAATCTAATCAAAATAAAATGTTGAATAGGGTCAACTAGACAGTTGTCGGACACATTTCAATTTTAAATAGCTATAAAATCGTATGAAATAAAAACAATAACGTACAAAAATTTCTGCTTTTTTCTGAAGAGTTACCTCCAAAAATTGTTAATCTTTTTTTAATCCATAGAACAAATTTTAGTTTAGAAAAATTATTTTTATTTTGTATGACTTTTTGAAGGAAAAAGTGCGTGTATTTTTGCCTAAATTTCGTTACGTGTTGTCTAGAAAATGTAAATATTAGTATTTCGAAAAATCCGTACGTATTTCGCTAGATAATTATATCACAAACAAAATAAAAAAAACTAAGATGATCGATTGAAATTTGTGGCAGCTAGAGTGTCCACCGATTTTTAAAATACAGTTTTGAGAAAAACGCGGGAGCGTTTAAAGTTTCCATTACAATGCAAACTTTAGCGCACGACTCTGCATGAACAGTTAGAAATTTGTCTTTTCACTTAAGACATCGATATTTAACAAATAATGATTCTGGATTGAAATATCTCGTCAATGTATTTTTTTAAATTGTGGAATTTATTTTTTTAATAAATATGAAGTCGTACATCCAGTGCTACATTTGATAATAAATAATAATCTTCAGGAATAACTGAATACTCTTTTATTTAAAAAATTCGTCACTCATCATGAAGTTTTCGATATCAAGATTTGTATCATCTTCAGGTGAAAAACGTTATAATTTTATAAAGTGACTATTATAATAATTTTTAAATAAGAGGGAGCATTTCTTTTAAGATGCTTGAATCTTGCAAGAGATGCTCGCTCTTATTTAATTAAATTTTACATGTTTTGTGTCAAATACACGTTCTCGCGGAGAAAGACACAATGTGAGTGATTTTATTTTTTAAATAAAACATCCAATTATTCTTAAAGATTATTATTTATTTTTTAATATTAATTTGTAATGATTATGTTAGTCGAACGGGGACCAAGTAAAAAACTGCTTGCAAGGGCTTCCATAATTTTTTGCCAAGCGCTTTTTTGTACTCTTCTTTTGTTCTTAGCATCATTTAATTTACTTGAACATAATGAAATGAATGTTTCGATTTTCAGTTTTACGGTTTCAACAAGAGCATTTACTTTATTAATTACATAACTCATTTCATCTTTTTCTAGTATAAAATCAATAAATTTAGTTAGACTTATTTTATTCGCCAATTCTTCGTTTTTGGTGAAACTTTTCAGATAATCACTAACCGTTTCCAGAGCTTGAATTTTAACCTCTGCATCAGAATTATTGCTCAAAGAAGTATTCAAGCTTTCGTAGATTCTATTCAAATCGGCTATATTGGTTTGTAAAGTATTAGTATCATTGGATTGACAAGAGGAAGTGAACTTTTCATCGAACGAGTCGCACAGTGTAGTCTGAAACTCTAAAATTGCATCTATGGGCAACAATATCTCATTGGCATCTCGTAGGCAAATTTCTAATTCTTGTGAAATTATTAAACCCATATCTTGGTGTGATGACTTGCGTATTTTCTTGCTGTTATAAATAGCTGGAATAATATTAACATCGATATTAGAAGTAAGAGTCCCTACTTTTTGTGCTTTCCTGAAGAAGGCTAATCTTTGGTTATTATATATAATTTGTCGTACAAAGTCTTTTGAAACTTCGGATATAGACATATTTGAATTTGATAATAAATTTTTGTATAATGCAGTATTTATGTATTTATAATCGACTAAATAATTATTATTCTTTCGAGGTGCTTTTGATATAATTACTGATATACTTGGAAAAAAGGTTCTAAACCTATAAGTAAAATATTTTTCTAAAGTACTTAAAAGTTTTCTCATCTGTTCAACATTGTCATTAATAATTTCATCAAAACTGATAACTAAAATGAGTTTTAGAGATTTGACTTTTCTTGTCAAATGATAGAGATAAAAGGAATTTTTTAAATCTTGCATTATACCTCTATTGTCCGCAAATCCAGCGCTATCCCAGATGTCCAAATTCTGTAATGCTGGCCTTTCTGAGTTCCATTTTGTGGGAATTGTAGTAGTTGACAGTGATCCAGGACCAATTTCTGGTCCTGTGATATTGTTGTTAGCTTTACTTATCTTAATATCCTCAAATATGTGAGACCTATTAGCTACCAATTCATTTCCCATTATGTAATTAATTAGTGTACTTTTGCCCCCTCTTCCATTGCCTATGACAATTGCCGCATTTTCACTTTGACCTCGAGTTGCTCTTTCCATTCGACGTTCAGAATCATGGAAAATTTGTTTTATTTCATTTAACTGATCAATGCCAAATTCACAATTTCGGCTTTCAATCATGGAAATTAGAAAGCAGATTATTGCAAGTCTTATCATGATTGATAAGCAATGTATTGCAACTTTTTCCAGTGAATACTTGAAAGTCTGAAAAGTTGACAAAGTTATTTACTAGACAAATTGTCATTAAATTTCAGTCTGTATTGGATACGAGAGAATATAACGTCACAATAAATAATTTTTTTATTGTAATTATGGTAATTGTAATTTAAAATTATTTGAACAAACAGTAGCACACTTTAGCGGTTGAATAACATCTATAATTGAAAAATAAATTACAAATAAAATAAAAATTATTAAAAATTGGTACTACAGAAAGAGGGGGAGCGCTGTTTCTGTTATGCTAAGCAGTACTAATTAAAAATTTGTAAATATTACTGACGGAATAATTTTAATAAATATTAATTTGATTTTTAAAATTATATTCGCTTACCTCCTTGGTGTGAAACTTATTCGTAATATTTAATACACTGGAATAATCAGACGAACTTCAAGATTTCTTTTTTGTTTCAAACTTAGTTCCACGTGACAGAAGATTAAATGTAACGTTTACAAATATTACGCAATTTGCCAATTTTATTATTGGTCATATTTAATATTATACATTAAAAATATTTATAAATTTTTTGTTCTATTAACCGATAGATAAACTACAGGTGTAATGAGTTGAAAATGAAAATGAAAAGGAACAATTCTTTATCAGTGAATAAATGTATAAATTAACTTAATAAATAAATGATTTCACCTTAGGGAAAAAACAGGTGCAAAGAGTATGTAGATTCGAAGAGAAAAAAATTTATTAATGAATATTTAGAAAAAAGATAAAAAAAAGTTTTTTTATTTTAATAATTTTTAATAAATCAAAAAAATTATTTTGTACATTAAAAAAGGATTTTTAATTTAGTAAAAGAAAAAAAATTAATTATTTATTAATTTTAATTATTTTTCTTTTTAGTCTCATGTAATTTTGAAAAATATTTAAAGAGAAAAAAATTTCTTTCTTTTGAACGTTCAGAACTTTAGGAAAATAAATCTTTAGAGGCCAAGAATGATCTTCTAAAATTTTTATTGTTGAAATCATTTTTATACAAAATTAAAGGATCTGAAGAAGGTAAAAAAAGTTCTTTTAAAATAAATTTTTATATATTCAAAGGATTGAAAGTTTTTCTTCTCACTGAAAAATCGGTGAGGTATAAATTCTAGACGAGAAAATTATTAACTGATAATTCTTCGTAAAATATTCTGCACATTAATAATACAGGGCTCGAAGTAGGTCTGTACTTTCTAAATTCGAATATGTGAAATTTCACTTATTGTACGTTATAAGTCGTCTTCTCGATCAATAAGTGCATATACACTTATAAATAAGTGAATTTTTCACTTATTCTAACAATAAGTGAAATTTTACTTATTATAAGTGTATATGCACTTATTGAACGAGAGAGCGACTTATAACTTACAGATATGTGAATTTTCACATATTCAGATTTAGAGAGTAAATCCCGTAAAAGTCCGTAACTTTGCTTGAAGTCCGTAAAAGTCCGTTTTTTGCTTCCTCATGAGGAAGCTTTGCATTGGTGACGATTTTCAATTTTTCAAAACAAGGTTATATGGACTCATTTTCATCTAGAACATATGTATATTCAATTATGAGCAAATGTCCAGATGTATGTGTGTGTATGTATGTGTGTATGTGTGTGTGTATGTGTGTATGTGTGTGTGTGTATGTCACAAAAATTGTGTACAAATTATCTCAGACAAATTTTGATGGATTGTCCTGAAATTTTGCAGGTTTATTGCAGTCATTAATACCTGAAATCTGACACAAGGATTTTCAAAAATATGTACAAAATTTTTTTTTATACAATTTTTTTAAAATTCAGAAAATTTTTTTTTTTGTATTTTCTGAAATAATTTTTTTATTTGTTAATATTTTTATTAATTATTCTCAAAATTACATTCCTGGCAAGAAAACGAATC